ATGTGGAAAACAATCGCAATGAGACGGCCAGACATATCGCGGCCCAAGCGGAGCATCCGGACCACCATATGGTGCTATACCTGCTCACTGCCATCGGCGCCAAACGGTGTTTGGCCAACAGAGAGGACTGTAAAGTGGGCTGTTCTCAGAACGGCAACTATGAGGGCAAACCATACCATCGATGGCCTAATTATGAAAACGAGACTTTTTATACCAAAGTATTACTCGAACCCATCATTAAAGAGGCGCTCAGAGGAAAGCAAACGGAATCGAGGAAAGGAAAAGGCGCTCGACTAATGTGTTTGGACGGTATTTACTGCTAAATCCTTCAGTAATAAAGTTATAATTAAATTATACTTACTTTTTATTGTTGTAAAAGGCGGTGGAGTTCGTGGACTCATAACATTGCAAATGTTGATTGAATTGGAGGGACGACTGAAAGCCCCGATTTCCACATATTTCGATTGGGTCTCCGGAACGAGCACTGGCTCTATATTGGCGTTACTTCTATGCACTGGTAAGACATTGACCGAAATTAGAGCCATTTATTTTCGCTTCAAAGACAAGATCCTGTCGGGTCCGCGTCCCTACAGTTCCAAGAATTTCGAGACTTTGCTCGAAGAAGAAATCGGCAAAGAATTACGGATGTGTGACGTGAAGAACAAATTGTTGTTTGTAGAGTATTAATTGCGGTAAGATTAGCTATCTTTAGGCCGTTTTGAAGTAGAAAAGTCCTCAATACTCAGCGGGCTTCTTCACGAGCCTAATAACGTTTGAGTCGGGCCCAAATTCCATTACCCCAATTATAAGGAACAGATAGCGTGGAGAGCGTGCAGAGCGTCGGGAGCGGCGCCCACTTATTTCCGAGCGAGCGGTCCGTTTCTGGACGGAGGACTCGGCGCTAATAACCCAACACTCGATGCGATGACAGAATTCAAACTTTACAACAACTCTTTGCGATCAGTCGGGAGGGAAGACGAGGCCCAAGAACTGGATTTAGTGGTTTCGTTTGGCACCGGAAAGTTCGCCACAACTCCCGCAGAACCGGTCGATGTGGAGAGACTCTGGTCTTTCAACGCCCGGGAATTGTATAAAAATACATTATATGTGAGACAATTGGGAAATCTGTTGATAAATCAGGTGTGCGCTACAGAGGGACACATCATTGACAGGTAGGCAACTATGAAATACATGGAGTAGTAATTTGTTAATCCAATTGTGAACGCATTGATTAGAGCCCAGTCGTGGTGCAGCGGAATCAAGACCTCGTATTTTCGGGTCAACTCTATGTTGTCTGAAGTGATAGCATTGGACGAGACGTCAGACGTCGAGATCTGTAACGCCTTGTGGGAGACGAAGGCCTTCATGTATGCCATGAGAGAAGAGGTTCGCCATATCATTGATTTGATGACACCATCAGAACTAACACATAGAGAGTCACCAAATAGAGGCCCTAAATCTGGATATTCGGTAAACATTGTTCAAAATGATGTTCAAATCATATCGGATACCACTCCTCAAAACAGTGCCGCTAATGAAAAGAGCGATAAAAATCACAAATAATTACATTTCAAACCCTTAAATGACAATAACTTTTATAAACAGTTATTGTAAAATACAATTTCATCGAAAATATTACAATTTTATTAAAAACATTAAATAAGAATTGATAATTAGTTTATTGTATAATACAATAAAAATAATTGCCAAAAATGTCCCGAATTTTATTTCAATGCCTGTAATCTCTTATCAAAATCTATAAGTAATTGTTTGATTGACTCGACATTGGTTTCAAACGATATCTTCAAAGTGTGGAGTTCTTGTTCATTAGTTTTCATGGACTCCGCGATCTGTGTCTCCAATGAATCCAAGTATGAGAGACCGGACGAGAATTGAAGCGCTTTATGATTAAATCAAAAATGAATATCAATTTGTATAGCAATTAAAATAGAAAACATGGATTGGTAGAAACCTTGCTCCTGGAGATCGTTTAAAGTTTCCAATCGCTGTAAAACAGTGGGAAGAGTTGAACGACTTTTCTCTGTTTTCTGAATCAATTCAAATAATTCATTGATTTTAGAGTTTTTCTCCAATTCTTCAAATTGTTGTTTTCTGTCCGCGATTTGAGATAATTTATCGGTAATCATATGGAGTCGTGAGTCAACCCTTTCGAGTGAATTTTGGTCAAATTGAGACACTTTTGCACTCA